AAGAAGGAGGGGAGATAAGGACGATAGATGTTTGATAGGAAAGAAGAAGCAAACCACACCAGAGCACCCGCCAACCACACACGTTGCCAACTCTAACCTCCTGCAATCCCAATGCGGTAAACACACACACACACACACACACACACACACACACAAAACACATACACACACACACACACACACACTCACAAACACACACACACACTCACAAACACACACACAAACACACACACACACACACTCACAAACACACAAAACACACACACACAAATACACACACACAAACACACACACACAAGCGCGCTCGCTGTAAACAGTATTATTACATAACTCTGAAACCGTGCACATCTGCTGGGGGTTATCGATAGCCAAGGTCACTCCAGGGAGGCGCGGGAACTCCCGCCGACATGAGTCAAGTGAGTCATGTGAGGGTGGGGGGTTGTTTTAGTTTTAGTTAGAGTTTTACGGCACTTGCAACTGAATAAGGTCATGTATTAAGTGTCGAAGATTAGAGATGTTACAAGAGAGTAACAAACGCAAAAGAAGAAGGAGGAGAGATAAGGACGATAGATGTTTGATGGGAAATGTTTAAATTTGTTTTATAGTAGAGGGTTTTACGGCGCTCGCAACTGCATAAGGTCATACAAGTGCCGAAGATTAGAGGTGTTACAAGAGAGTAACAAACATAAAAAAGAAGGCTGGGGAGATAAGGACGATAGATGTTTGACTGGAAAGAACGAGCAGACACCAGAGCACCCGCTAACCACCCACTAAAATACTAACAAAAACAAAAAGCTAAACAGATGTGAGTCATGCTGGGTCTTGTCTGTTTTACCTTACACTGCTTCTTGTGTTGCCCTCAATTTTTTTTTCTAAAGCATACTAGAAAATTTGATACACTTATTTTGTCTTTCTTTTCGCTCATAATTTAAGTTCCTTTTCTTTTGTCTTAATTCGTATGTATCTCCCCCCATCCCCCACCCTCCCCTCTCTCTCTCTCTCTCTCTGTCTGTCTCTGTCTCTCTCTCTCTCTCTCTCTCTCTCTCTCTCTCTCTCTCTCTCTCTCTTTTCTCTCTCTCTCTCTCTTTCTCATTTTATTATTATCTTGGTATATATATGAAAAGTTGTTTTGACGAGCGCCTGATTTCATTACGATGCCACACGTTTACATACACACATGTCGAGTACATATAAACATAATATTATATTATTCTACATAACATAACTGGTCGCTTTTAGGGACAAGCGGGCTGACCCAGATTGATTTCTGGGGTTTCCAGAAATCTTGACCTACAAGAAAAGTGGGCATTGTCCAACCTATAGGAGAAGTTTGGTTTCACTGGTGTGTATATTTGTTTGGTTATTTTAAAAAAAACACTCCATGGCTTTTCAAGAAACTGAACAAGGGTCCAAAAACTTTATCTTCGATTTTCTCTAAACATCATTGTTCGGAAAAACCCGCTTAATGTTCCTAAAAGCGACCAACTATTTGGCTGCCTTTCCAAATACACCGTCAACCTATTAACAAACAATACCGTCTACTCCTGCCCCCCACCCCCCCGAAACCCCCGCCCAACAAAGCCCACCAACATTCCCCCAAAGAATTGAAATTGATCTAACATTTCAACAACAAGTAATGCTATCATATTCTATTACTTTAGAGAGCCGCTCTCGCTCAAAGATAAGGCTGGCCTTGTGGGAACCTCCCTGGCAACCACTCGGCTCGTTTCACCGTTGTGCTTTATGCCTGTTGTACTATCTAAGGGCAAGCGAGGCAGGGGTAGGCCCAGAACAGCATACTTAGGGAACTTAAACAAATGGGTAACAGGAAAAGATCGGGGAAACGTAGCTTTTTTGAGAGCATCCGAGCAAAGGAAGGAATGGAGAACCAAGATCGCCGATGTCTGTCGCAGATCTGGCACTGGATGATGACTACCGTAATTCTCGTGGTAATGGCACGAAAGGGATATTGCCAAATAGGACGTCTGTCAGAGGGCATTTTCATTTACTAGGCTGTTTTTTTTTCGAGTCTCTTTATGTTGTAGGTTTTCGTTTATTGATCTATGTTTCTTTTTTAAGTTTTACGGCACTTACAACACAATAAGGTCAAATAAGTGCCGAAGATTAGAGGTGTTACAAGAGAGTAACAAACACAAAAAAGAAGGAGGGGAGTTAAGGACGATAGATGTTTGATAGGAAAGAAAGTGCAAATCACACCAGAGCACCCGCAAACCACCCACTTTTTGTGGTTATAGTCAACAATTAAAAGGGACAAAAAATGATACAGATGCCAACAAAGATGATGAGGATGACGATCATTGATATCAACATTATCTATTCTTTCTTAAAGTTTCTAAAACCTGCCTCCATGTTGTTGCTTTTTAAAATTTTGTACTAAGCACCAATGACGATGATGATGATGATGATGATGATGATGATGATGATGATGATGATGATGATGCTCCTGAGGAAGCCCACAGGGCGAAACGTTGAGCTATTAAATAAATTGAAACATTTTATA